TGAAAATTATTAATTTCAGTGATGACACCAGTTTTGGTCTTCAGACTTTATAGCACTGTTCTCATTACAAAAAGTTGCACTAAGTGTCCATTAATGATCTGATTGGTCTTCAATATTTCATAACCATGTATATAAAACAAATCCTTAAAAGCCAACAGTACTTCATGTTTTGTGTGTGTGTGTGTGTGTGTGTGTGTGTGTGTGTATGAATCTCATCTCAGAAATGGCTGTGCTGAACAGAGCCACACACACTGATACTAGACATAAAGGGCTTTCACTTGAAGAAAGCATTTTCAGAAACGTCACTTACATTTCTAATATGGTAAATATTCCCAACTGAGTTTCAAATTCAACAGGTGATGGATAACAGAATTATACATTTCATTTGCACTCAAAGCTAACCACAACCAAAAGTTACAGTATGATTAAAACAAGCCAATGTTTAAAAAAGTTTTAATTAAAGACAATTCCATTAAAGGAGAGGGTAAAGAATGGGATGACAAGAAGTATTTGGTCTTAATAAGGCGATACAAAATCGATCAATTATCAAAGACCATTTAGTTTTAAAGATTGACAATATCAAAAGCATAGAGTATAAGAAAATAGTTTTCATGAGTATGATCTAAGTACAGCTGTTTACAGCTAACTCCCCCACAGTAGAAGGCAGGAGCTTAGACAGAATGAGAAGAAAGCACAAGCACACACCGCAGAGGGGCAGAGGAGCCAGCATATGCCTTTAATCCCAGCACTTGGGAGGCAGAGGCAGGCGGATCTTCGTGAGTTCAAGGCCAGCCTGGTCTACATAGTGAGTTCCAGGCCAGCTGGGGCTACAGGGAGACCCTGTCTAAAAAAGACAAAAAAAAAAAAAATTCATTGTAGAGGTATTTAATGTCCTTGGTCAGGTTTATTCCAATATATTTTAATTTTTTTGCAGCTATTGTGAAAGGGAGTGTTTCCATGTACTCTTTCTCTGATTGCTTGTAATTGGTATATAGAAAGGCTACAGACTTTTTTTCTTTGGTCTTTTTTGAGACAAGGTCTCCCCAGTAGTAACCCCAGCTGGCCTGGAACTCACTAGATAGACAAGGCTGGCCTCAAACTCAGACATCCACCTGCCTCTGTCTCCCAAGTGCTGGGATTAAAGGAGCGTGCCACTATGCCCAGTAGCTACAGACTTTTGTAGATTAATTTTGTAACCTGCCACTTTACTGAACGTGTTAATAATTTCTAGGAGTTTTCTGGTGGAATTTTTGGCATCTCTTAGGTATAATGTCATATAATCTGCAAAAAGGGATAATCTGACCTCTTCTTTTCCAGTTAATACTCCTTTAATTTCCTTCTCCTGTCTTATTGCTCTAGCAAGAGTTTCACGCAGTGTTGAAAAGGAGTGGAGATAGTGGATATCCTTGTCTGGTTCCTGATTTTAATGAGGCTGCTTCCAGTTTT